TTTTTTTTAAAACTTTGCTAAATAAGTCGTTCTTCCTTGGTGATTGTTGTCATTGGCATCGAATAACTGCTTGACAGGACGCTTTCTTCGCGTGCCGGATTATATTTCCCGTGAAGTTTACGTGACCGACGAATGTACCGTAGCACCAACACAGCGCAAACACCCGCCAGTACAAGTAATGCTGGAATGATAAAGTTGTCAGTACCGTCAAACAGCATAACCTTACAGCCTTTGAAGTAGAAACGCATTTGCGAAATCCAGAATTTCGTGGAGTAACTGTTATTGCTCATTGAGAATAATGATGATATTACCTAAGGGCATATGTACTTGTGGACTATGACCTGACACTGTTATTAACTAGTTACTGTATGTTAACTAGGTTATTAGATTGCTATATGTCTGGCAAAACTGGGACTTCTCAAGGCTTTGCTTCTTTTTTTTTAAATTACAGGTGTGAGAAGTTTCGCGGCTAGCCTGCTTCTAAGCAGCTCCTGCCTTTTCAGCAGACGCTGGCACTTATCATCACTCAGGCTACAATGAACTGTCTTCGCTTCTAAGAGAATTTTGACTTTTGATTATCAGTATAATATTCACTAAAAAACTGATATCCAAGAAAGTTTAAGACTACTCGAGTGATTTCACAGAGGTGGCGTGTATGCACGGAACAAGCGGTGTGCTTCGAGGCCGGAGCCCCTTTTTGCGCTGCAACAATTGCACAAAATGCACATTGTCGAGGCCTTATCTGTGTGTTTGTCTGTGTGTGTGCCAAGTGCATTTTATCTGGGATTTCAGTTCGGGAACCAAAGGAGCTGGGGAGCTGAAATTTTAAGAGATCGCCTGCTTGCGTATGACTACAAACTCAAATTCAATGTCCATGTGCGCCTAGGTTTCATGTGCTGTCACGCAAAAGTTCTGATGTCTAAATTAATAACTTGGAAAGCACAAAGGCTAGGAAACAACAACAACGGACGATAAGAACATTACCATCATCATTATCATCAAAATACAGCAACAAAAAAAAAATGTTCCTCGCCCGACCGTGACCCAGCAAAGTCAAGTTCGGCCTTGTGCGTTTAGGCCTCGCGTACACAAGCGTGAAAGTTTTGATGCAAAAATTAATAGCTCGAAAAACACAAAAATTTTTGTACTTATCTAACAGTAATGTGTGGACATCTTCGACAGCAGGTTTCCCCTGGACAAAGTTCCACAAGCGTCAGTTGGATAGGGTTGCACGAGCATTCGCCGAACTGAATCGCATAAGCGTTCGCTGACCAGGGTTGTGCAAAACGCATTATCGCACCAGTTATCCTACGTATGCCGGTATTTATTGGAAATGTTTATAGACCGGGAGGGAATCAAAACACTCGTCTTCACGTCCGGACACGACGTGCTACACCGCTGCACCCACATGCCCTTGTACTCAAGGATCTGCTGGAGCACTTATGTTCTGTTTATGCACACCAATATATATTCTGCATTGTCTGGCTGTTGCATTGTATGCAGTACCCTCTTTCAATAGTTGCCTTCTTTTCGTGGATTTTTCACGACAGTGGGTACTAACTAGAAGTCCAGGATCGAACGGCTTGATGTGTAGCTGTGCCCAGCCTAGGAGAATTCCATTAACACCGATAAGGATCTGCTGGAGCACTAATGTTCTGTTTATGCACACCAATATATATTCTGCATTGTCTGGCTGTTGCATCGTATGCAGTACCCTCTTTCAATAGTTGCCTTCTTTTCGTGGATTTTTCACGACAGTGGGTACTAACTAGAAGTCCAGGATCGAACGGCTTGATGTGTAGCTGTGCCCAGCCTAGGAGAATTCCATTAACACCGATGAGATCCCAAATCGGTTGTCCACGCGGTCTGGCCTTTTGAAAAAGATCAAAAATTTTACCAAAAATAATGGCTAAAGCGATGGCCCAAGACGAAGGACCACTCGTGCTGCCATCGCTTTCACTACCGCTGATCTCATCTGAGTGATGATTCAGGTCCGAGATCAGAGTAGTCGTCGGAAGACCAACTGTCAGCTTCACAAATTTCACTTCATCCTCGTCTGAACTTGGCGTCGATTCCGACGTAAAGGACCGTGTTGATGTGATCTGCAATATTTTAATAATTGGCCATCATATGGGTTGCCCGTGCGAAGATGCGTTTTTTGCATAGTTTCCCGCAGTTTTTGTCGCTACTGGCACCGGTTTTTCCGGTAAATGTTTCCAGCTAAAAAATTAAGACTGGCCGTCAGTCAGGAAACACCCCCTTAAAATTTCAGCTTTCCTCGCTCCTGAGTTAGCAACTTACTGCAAAAAACTTTCACGAGCCCTTACGGGGCTGGGTTTGAGCTCATTAATACCTACTTGGATGAGTAGCATCCCCTTAAGATTTCAGCTTTCTAGCTTCTCAGATCCCCGAGCTAGCAGCCTACCAGTAAAAAACTTTGGCGAGCTCCTACGTGGATACCACGCGGGTAAGGGCATCCATTTTGAGGACTGGGGCCTGTACGTGCATGTAGGTTAAGCTCTCCAAGTTTCAGCTCC